CCTTTCTGATAGCCGTGACCCTGCCTGTTAACTTGCAACATGCTCACCCTAAAATAAGTCCATAGAATAAAAACAGGCCCTGTCCACACACGAAACCAGGAAGGCAGCCTCCCCAATTCTACCCTGGAATAGGAGTGGGTGGGGGTGTGGGGTGCCATAGCGCCAGCTCCTCTCGGATGTCCTGCCTCTACTGGCTGAGCGCTGTCAACAGGTGACGGTGGCCCTGCACTGCAGACTCTTGGCCTTAGGCGAGCTAAGTCACTCGCTGTTTACCCTGGCCTTTCTGCCATGTGAATTAGCTAGGCATGAGCACCAGCATCCGGACCAGGGGCTTTGGGGGAAAAAAAAACCCAAACTGTGCGACTTGAGAAAAGGGAAAACAAACATCAGTAAAATTCCCCTTATATAGAGCCTTGTAATATGTGGCCAAAACAAGGTTAAAATATGAAACTAAATGGGACGTTAAATCACTTAATTTGACATAAACCAGTTTTTTTTTTTTAAACATTTGCTTTGTTTATCCCATGCATTTGCAACTGAGGTAAAAGTGGTTTGGGGGGAGTGCAAAAAAATCGTAGCTGTTCCAAGGTCCTGCAGTACAGAAACAGATATACTGTATATCTATCTGTGGTATTAAAATGTCATGGGTGAGAAGCAATTAAAAAATGTCTGAAAAAGCTCCTAGGAGGGAGTGATAATGAAAATAAAAGGTGGAGAACACTGGTTTATCCTAGCTAGCTGCAGCCTCTGAGCCACATTTTTCAGGTCTAGCCTAATCAGGACACTTACAAATGTTACCAAATAATATATTCAATACTGTGGTCATTTGCCCCACGTTGCTGTCAGTTGGCCCTCCCCACACGGTTAGCATCTCCAGGCTGCAGTGCTCAGTGCAATGCTGGCTCCAGGCTGCCTGCTCCCACTCTGAAAAGCTTGTTTTCAGACATGATGATTGGGGAGCGCAGGTGGTGAAAACAAGCCCATGTAAGACAAACACTAAAGAGCTGCTCTCTGGGATGGCCAGTTTTTTTCTCAGGTTAGTAACAGGACACAGTGGAATTCTGTATTCTCTAACTGGCCTCTTTAAACCACTTTTGCCACCAATTCAAAACAGATTTAACAAAATCAAAATTAGATCAACACAAAACAGATTCCTTCACAACTGGTGCTTTTTATTTGATCAACCTTCGAAAACTTTTTGACTTCATTAGTGTTAAAATCATTGATAGAGTCAAATTGGGTAACTCTGGGCTTCTTAAACTAATCAACCTGCACGCATTTGGAGCTGAAGGGGATGCTAGGAATATCTTGTCATTTTCCATGTGAAGAAACTGAGGCAGAGAGGTGCTAGCTCTGACCCAAGGCTGCTGGGCAGGACCAGGGCTAGAAGAGCCTTAGATCTTAGATACTGCTGCCCACTTCTAGGGCATTAAGAATTAGGAGATAGAGTCATTAATGTCACAACCCCGCAGGGTAGGACAAGGAATTCCATCCCTCATTCTGGAACATGGGGATTAAAGATGTAATTTGAGAATCTCATCCCCTTTGCTGGGCCATTTTTAAGAGAAGGGCAGTACTTGAGCTGGCACATGACCTCACTTGCCTCTGGAAGCTTAATTTGATTTTAGTGATTTGTTTTTTGTTATAGGTCACCTTTCTGTTAAGAGACTCCTTTCCCCAACACCATGGTTTCTGCTCAGTTTCCTCTCAGCTTCCCTCAGTAGCTTCTCTCTGCATGAGGAGCAGTGATAATACACATAAATTAAAATCCATGCAGATTATTTCTTTAAAAAAGACCTTGTTCTTACCAACACGGATGTTTCAGCTTTCTTCCTTTGTGAACTTTCTATCACAGCTGCCTAAAATGAGAGCTCAAGAGTAAAGGGCTGTGAGCATTTCCAGGGGGGAAAAAAGCTTCTAATGCGTTAAAGAAACATTATCTTAAAACAATTCCAAGCTTTAAAATTCCCTATTCTTGAATTCTGATAAACATAAGTTTTGTTAGCCAAACTTTAGAAGTAAACCTACGCCAGCCTGTTGACACCACACAATATCTGAACATTGCTACATGATTTTCCCACTCAAAAAATTCAGTTATAAGAGCACCTTTGTCCAAGGAAAAGTAAATTTCCACTAAGCAAATGATTAGTGTAGTAAAGGGGAAAATCCTAAATATTGGTGCATAGCATCACATTGAACCAGCTGGGTTCCCCTCCTCTCTCTCTCCATTTGAAATATTACAGCAGGCTGGTAATTGACCTACGTGGTCAACTATGTGGTCTGCTTTTTCTTTGAGAGAATTTCCTCACCAGACCCCACCTAAGTTGAAAGGGCAAGTGAGCCCATTCAAATGCTAACCCCAGTTTAGCAGGGTGAGACAAAGGGCCAGTTGGGAGACTAGTGAGTTGGGAATGCTTGGAGAACTTTCCAGAAACGCCTGTGGAAAAGAAAGGCAGCTGAACATCAGTGCCTCAGGTAGAAGGGGTTTGAAGAATCTGTGTAGCAAAATGCCCTCTCCTCGGCTGGATCCTGGGCACCTTCCTAGGGGGTTGGTATAGTCCTCAGTTGTTTTGTATGTTCCCTAATGGCTTTTCCACTCTGGAGCCAGGGTGGAAGGAGGGAGGGTGGGGGAGGGGAACTGAGTGGGGGAGGGGCGGGTGGGTAACAGGTTTTCACAATCAGAGGTAGTTTATGGAGGAGAGTGTCTGAAAGAAGGCAGACTGTGTTCCTAGACGAGGACACCCCCCCCCCCCCCCCCCCGCGGCACAATGAACCTGGTATATTGCTTCCAGTCAAGGACGCCAGCCTCCCCTTCTGCAGGCTTCTGGGAGAGGTGGGCTCCGGGCACTGAGGACTTTTTTTTAAACTTGTTTATTCATCCTGCAACAAGGCAGCATGCTAATTTCTCTAATGAAAAAACCTAGCTCTGCAGGAACACCGGCCCCTCACACTAGCCAATCTGTGAAGGTAGCTTCCACACTGAAAAGCACACCAAAAAAGCCAACCAAAACCCTGGCTTCTTTTGCCTACTCACTAGAGACCTTTTCCTTGGTGAACTCAAGCTGCTCAGACGTTACCAGAGGAAGAACAGAACAGTTAATGCCACAGAAAGGTACACAGCGTCACTGTTTACGTTAAGTAGAAATTCCAACTTTGGGGCGCTCCATCGCACTTAGGCAATTTCACACTTTGAAGCCGAAGGCAGGGCACGCCCGGCCCTTCTGCGTACCCTCGGCAGCCTCCGGACTTGCGCCGCTTCCTCGCTGCCCCGCGAAGCCCCTTCTAACAAACCGCCTCCCCGGTATCACTAGTGACGACCAGAACGGCTCTGGCAGTCATCCGTCGGCGCCGCAGCCCGGCACAACTAAGTTTGGGGCGCCGCGACGCCTTTCCTGGGGAAAAGACCTGGAAGGAAGGCGATTTAAAGCGTTCCTTCTGGCCGCGTCCTTTTCTTAGGAGTCTAAGAACGCGACCCGTCTTTTCATTTAAAGTCTCAAAATACTTCACCTTTCCCCCAAATCATTCTCATCAGAATAGCTCAAACCCGCGCAAAAACGAGACACGCGCGCACCAAGAAAAGATCAATTTCCAAATCGGGTGAGGTTTTGTAAATACATTTCGCTTATCAGTCTTTCCCTCCAGGACTGACGAGAAAGGCACTCCGCACGAAGATGCATTACCAGATTGCGGCCGCTTTTGTCCTCGGACACCAGGACAGTTTCTCCTCCAGGTTAGATTCCAAACTTAGCTCCACCCAAGCTGAAAATGGCCGGTGCGCGCCGCCTCCCCTCCCCGAGGCTGCCGAAGCCGCCGGCGCCGGCCCCTGCCCCTGCCCCTGCCCCCTCTTGACCGATCGCCCAAGGACTTCTGTCGGGTCCAACACCTTTCTCCAGCTCGGAGGGTGCTGCGCTCTTTGGGGACGCATTGTAGAGTGTCCTAATGATAGATGAGACCCCCTTTCTTGCCTGTTCCTTGTTCCGCTTTGCCTTTCCGCTCGCGGCCACGTCGCGGGCTTCTCAGCCCCTCTCTTTTCACCCCTAGGACCTTGGGCAAACGGCTGGGGACCTCTCCAGCCAAGCTGCACCCAGCTCCGCCGCCAGACCAGCTGCGCCAAAAGGCTGGCGATGCCCCGACGTGACCAAGCCCGCACCACCAACCCCGGTAGCCTGTAGGTACCCCTGAGATTTCCGTACCTTCTCTGTCTGCCCTGCAAGTGCGGATGACTCGTGGGGAACCGCCAGACGGCCCGGAGAGGTCGGCTCTGGGGCGCGCAGGCAGGTGCGCACGCTCTTTGCCGCGGTCTCCGGCTCCGCGACCGCTCGGAGGCGGGCGGTGGTGGCCAGGACTGGCGCACAGCCGTCGGGGGCACTAGTGCCGAGGTCCCGTGGCTCCAAATTGGCAGCTCTGGGACCTGGGCTCCAGGCTCAGAGTGTCTTAAGCACCACGCGCGCGACTTGCCCCGGAGCCGGCAGTCTCCAGAGTTCTCGCCCAATCCCAATCTGATTACTTTTCGCACATTGCAACGGTGTCTCTACAGCTCGGCTGCTCTCGCATTGTGGAAGTTGGCGCGCGCACCTCCGAACCACGTTTCGGGCGCCCGCCAAGGCCAACTAGTTTAAGACTAGTCTCTCAGGAGAGAAAAAAAGTACGTAAAACAAGTGACTTACCCATTCTGTTTGGGTGTGCAGCTCGAAACCTGGGACGCACCCAGGATCCAGTAGTGCGTCGTGGACACCAGGTTGGAGGCTTCGGGATGTCTCCAGAGGGGCGCAAGAAGCGCCCCGCCGTTCAACAAGCCTTTGGCCACTTGGGCGCTCTCGGCGCCTTCGGGGAGATTTGGGGAGCCCTTCCCGCTTGCCCTGGCCCCCCACCTCCCAGGCTGGCTAGCTGAGCCCGCTCTCTTCCCGCCTTCCTCCTAACCTGCGCTTCCTTCTCCCTCCCTTCCTGCCGCCGTTCCCACACCGACCCCAGGCTCCCCAGTTTACCGGTGGGCAACCAACCTGGGTCAAAGAAAACAAGGAGAATCTGGGGCGCGTCGTCCATTAGTGACGCCGGATGGGGATGGGTCCCCTTTTGGAAGGAGACTCCGGGGATGGGTCGCGGCGGGTGGGCTTCCTCGGCTTGCAGCGGCGCTGCTGCTTCTCCTTCCGCTCCTCGGACTCCTCGGGGTCCCTCGGATCCTTGTCCTCGGGCTCGGGCTCCTCCCCCTCTCTGGGGCCCTGGGGCTCCTGAGTGCTAGGCTGCGCGCGACTCGGGGAGGCGTCGGGGCTCCGCAGCCTCAGAGCGTGCAGGCGCTCGGCGAGAGAGCCCCTTTCCCCGAAAGTGGGGCGCTTGGGCACCACAGGACCGCGCTCGTCTTCGGGCTCGGTCTCGGGCTCAGTGGTGGGGGCGGTCTCGGGCTCAGTCTCGAAGTCGGTTTCGGACTCGATTTCAGACTCGGTCTCGGTCTCGGATTCGTAGTCAAACTCCTCCTCGTACTCTAGGCACTCGGGGAGGGACACCTCGAGGTCTGCCTCCTCGCGCTCGTGGTCAGATTCGGGGGCTTCGGGGAACACCTGGGCGCTGGAGCGGTGGTGGGCGTTAAGGAAGCTCCGGCGCTGCTGGGCAGCCGCGCGCTGCTGGGCGCGGGCGTTGGAGGTGGCAAGGGCGCGGAGGAGCGCGATGGAGCAGGAGAGCCAGAGGAGCGCGGTGGCTGCCCGGCGGCCTATGGGTGGGCACAGATCGTTGTAATTGTGGCGAGCTCGGCGCCACTGCTGAGCCCGGGACCTACGATCCATTCTCTTAGGCACACACCGAGAAGCCGACCCACCCTCTGGCTCTGCAGAGAGCGGCTCCGATGCGCATTGGCTGCTAGAGCCGAAAAAGGTGCACCTTACGAGGTGAGAAGCTGGATCCGGGGGTCCCAGCCCCACCTCGCTGTGAGGGGGAAAAGGGAAGCACCTACCTTCCTGACCACTCAACTTTCTAAAGCTCCGCGCCTCTGCTTGCCTCTGAGAAAAAAGACAGGATGGGAAAGGGAGAGAAAAGTCTGTCTCCTCCCGGGCTCCTCTCTCTAAGTCTCAGACTGCGCAGTCTAAGACTCGGGAGAGATGCCTCCGCTGGTCCTCTCGCCTGGGAGAGGAAAGAGGAGACTGAGGCGAGGAGTGACGGGCGGAGAGGTTCTGCAAAGTTGCGCGCCCGGACTTCTGCCGGGCATGTGCAGTAAGGAGGCGGGGGCGTCTCCCCGAGAGCTGCGCGGTGGCGCTGAGCCGGTGGCGCAGACCCTAGTGGGCCGGCAGGTGGCAGGAGGGATCCTTGTTTGAAAGGATTTGGGCGAAGCCAGGAGTGGTGGTGGGGGGTGCCTGGCGGGTGCCAAGGAGCAAGCGAGCGAGCGAGCCACAGGTTCCAGGACGTGGCAGCTGGGCACGGCTTCTCCAGGGGGTCCGCACCCTCCCCAACTTCTCCAGGGTTATCGAGAAAACACGAACAAAGCCCGAAGCAGCTAAAAATCGGACCACAACATTCCGGATATTCAAGGGGAATATGGGTCTGAACGTGAGTTTGAATGATCCAGCCCCAGGCATTTTCCAAGGGCTTAATAGTTTGAGGATGGTAACCTGAGGCAGTCATTAATAGTGAAACCACCTTTGGCAGAACTGCTGTAGTCACTGTAATTAGAGACGTTTCCAAAAAATACACCTCCCCCCAATGCAGTCTCAATTGGCTAATTACCTCATGGACAAATAAGCATCGTCCCTAAAAAGGACCCCCACAGATGAGCTGATGGTTTGCAAGTTGGCAAACCCGTTGGTGGGCCGCCATGAGCTCTAGCTGAGAACATGTGCTGGGAGACAGGCTTGAATTAGCCGGAACCACTAGTTAAGGGAAGCCTTTCCTGTGCTGATATACAGTAGGCACAACGGATTCTCTGCTCCTGTGATGCTTCAGGGTGGTCAGCTATCAAGGTAACCTCATGGGGTACCCTTTAAAGCTTTTTCATAGATAGGTTTTCAACAAAGTTAATTCATTGAACAGATATTTATTGAGTGCATAACACATGCCAGGCTCTGTTCTAGGTGCTGAAGGTAGATTTAAAAAGAAAAAAGAAAAAAATCTTAAAATAAGGAAAGGATATTCAGGATTACTCTGCTGTTAATCAGAGCATTAACCCACTCTGAATCCCTCCTTACCCACCAGCATGGTTTCATCCAGCTGAAATTCTATTGGCTCAACCAGAACATTAGGGTTAGGGAGTGGCTAGACAGCCCTAGATCATGTTGTTGAACCCCAAAGGCTAAAAGCTGGGAGGAAATTTAGTCCATCTCCTTCTCAACCGTGGAAAATCAAATGAGCTCCATGTCCTCCTGGAGGAGGATCCCTGGGGCCGTCCTTGCTTAGGAAAGGATGGTACTTTGGAAGCTCTTGAGTTCCATCTGTAACGTGATTGCGTTTTCTGGGTTGTGCATGCCCTCCGTGTTAAAATATGGAGTGCCCCTTTTGTCAGAGTGACAGGCCCAAAAGTGGCATAACTCGAAGCACAACCATCTTCGGAGGATCCTCAGAAGTGTCAACAAGGTTGCTTCACTTGGGACACGTGGTTTTGTGTCTTTGAGTCAATATGGGGAAACTTGGAGAGGCGTGACCTCTTATAACTCTGCTTTCCCGTTTGAGGCGGTCCACCAGGCGTTCCCTGTTGGCAGTCTTTCCCGGTGGCTGCAGAGTCATGCCCCCACAGCTGTTACTCAGCGTGGTGGGACTCGGCCTCACGTCTTCAACACCAGGTCCGCATTAAGCTGTCAAACCCGGAGTGAAGGCCTTAGTAAGAGTCTAGCAACTGCTTTTGATGTGTTGAGGTTTTTATTTCTGCATCTTGGCTGTAGACTGTCTTGAATGTTCCTGACCTGGCTTCTTGGCTGTGTCTGTCTTGCATCTTGTGCTCTTTGAGTTAGTTGGTAGCATTAAAATACTGATTAGTCAAATAAAGTGGGATTGATTTGGCAAACCCCATAATAGGACGAATGTCTGTAGTCTAGTTGTGCCCTACTTGAACACTTTCCAGAGAAACTGGAAGAGTTTTATTGTCACAAGTGCCTGGCTGGCTCCAATCATCGTGTGGATATTATTATGGGACACTGGACAGGGGCATTTGGAGCTGAATATCTCAAATCCTGATCTCTCAGCCCTGACTGAGGAGGGACGTTTCTAAAGGTTCTGCTCACATTGACCCACCTGCTTTGTTTCTTTCAGTTAGCACAGCCCCACTGACAGTGACATAAAGATCACTCATAAAGATGTCATTCAAATGGTTTTCAGGGCACATTGGGAAAGAAACCAGGAATATGTGGGTGCTTGTGAGTGCCCTTCCAATGGAGGTGAATGCCAGCTGTCAGCAATGAGATGGGTTATGATTCTTTAGTGTACCTAAGAAAGTACTTCGTTTTTCAGAATGAGTGCTTTATGCCCGTAATGGAGATGGCAGCCCAGAGCTGATCCACTAATATAGATACACTGAGATTGCCTGCATTATTAAAAAATGTGCATTACATAATACATATTTTTTGGACTAGATTCTGCATCAGTAATGCACTTTCTTTGCTAGATGCATTTTAATCAGCAAACGAATGTTTACCAAAACACTGCGTTTTAGAGCCTCAGTCATGTATAGTTACAAATACATTTCGGTGTACATTCAACACAAGGCTCCGGGAGGAGCAGGAGGACCGCGCTGAAATACTGCTCCTTTTCCCACTTAGTGCCGAGGTCGAGCAAATGGATCTGTGCAGAAGATGCTCTTTAAAATGCATTACGTGCGTGATTTTAAAAAGTGCTTGCTGCAGAGTGAATTTCAAAAAGGAGCAAGCGGGTGATGAACGACCTCGGGTTGTTACCAGGCTAAGGAACACGGGGCTCTGTCTGTCTGCCGGTTAATAAAGTGTGGGCATATATCACCTACAGGGCTCTGCCAGAGGGAGGCTCCTAAACCCGTTGGACAGGAAAGCATAGTTTCCAGTTCATTACAGTATCATACAATAAGGTTCTTATTTGGATGAATTGTGAAGAATATTGTCTTCCACCCCTTAAAGGACGGTCCCGTGGAAGAGGCATTAGGAGGTATTTTTTCTGGCTCCAGAGGGCAAAATTAGAACCTATGGGTGGCAGTTACAACAGGCAGGTTTCAGCTCATCTCAGCCCAAGGAAGAGTATTCTGACAATTAGGGCTCTGAAATGGAGTGGCTGTCAGGAGGTGGTTGGCTCCTTGTCAGAGCAGTGTCGAATCAAAGGACAGACAGCCACATATTGGAGATGTTTTCCATGGGACTCATGAGCCGCGTGGAGTTGGAACTTGATGCCCGCCAACGGTCTTTTCAACTCCAATTCCTAGTCCATGGAAAGCGTCTGGAGGCCCTGGGAGAGGGGCTGGGGGCTCTGCTGATGGACGTGCTCTTCCGACTCTGCTTCTATTTTAGAAGCATTTGAAAGTGCAAGTGGCTGAGTGACAGGAAGGAATGTTTGGGCAGCAGTTTCAGGACATGAGCAAACAGGTGTCTGCGATGGCACCAGCAGCCTACAGTGGAGCTTTCCTAACCAGGGGAGGGCTCGGAGTCTCTGCTCCACAGCTCACTTGTTGAAGCAAAGAAATTAGTCAAGTCTGTCTATTAATTACATCGGTCCTCTTTGCCTCCCCTCCTGGAGCTGTCTCGGAAATTAAAAATGAAATTGACTATTTAGCAATCATGCATTGAGTCACTTCTGTGAGCAAGACACTATTCCAGGCATCATGGGGAGTTCAAGGTAATTGAGAGTGAACAACTCCTTCCATCTAACAACATGCATATCAATGTGAAATGCCCCCAAATATTAAAAAGTGGATTGCCAACAGGTGCCAAATAATAAATCCAGATAGATAAACCAGGGAGGGAAGTTTAGTAACAGTGGTTACAATCAGAGGGAGAGTTCATCTGGTGATTTTGTGAAAGGGATGGGTTTTTACCTGGTCTGACTTTGAGATTTTGTTTTTTTCAAAAAGCCCATAAGAGGATTACTTTCAATCTGCCTGTTCCTGTGTGTCTACCGTGTGCAAAGCCCTGTGCTGGTCGCTCTGGGGGAGATAGAGATGAATCACATGAATTCTCAAAAGGCTTGCCAGGCTATTGTCATGGGTCCCATAGACACCAACACATTTTCCAAGATGAGACACAAGATAAAAGATTGGTTCTTCTCTGTCAGGCGAGTGGGTATAATCACTCTTGAACATATTTTTTGGACAGTCATTGGAAAAGACTATTTTTGGAGATGGAGAGCTTTTCAAACTTTCCTTTGGGTAGAAATGAATTCAGGGAGTTGGAAGTGTTTGCCACCCCTGACTGTGGCAATCAGCCAGAAAGGCTCATCCTCACTGAGAATTAGGCATTGCCCCTCTGCCCATCCCCCAAAGAGGTCTGGGTACAATACAGAAACACTGGGCTCGTTTCCCTGGGGTGCTGTGTTGCTGTTATTCAGACTGCACTAATATCGATTGGCTCTCACCAGTAGAAATAGTGACAACCCTGAGCTCCTGATTTTGGGGGAATGCCATCTAGAGCTAAAAGCAAACAATAGGGGGAAATAATCATCTTTTTGACATGACTGGATTCTGTCCAGGCCATTGTTGGGATTACAATCCTCTGTTTGTGCCTTCGTTTTTAAAGGGAGATAGGATCAGAAACGAACGTATTCCTGTGTACGGAGCTGTTAGGGATTGTCTTCTCAGGAGTGGTCTTTCGTTTCCGTTTGTCTTGTGCTCTGTCGAGGTTCCCACCCATACAGTGTCCACCCACCTACCTACCTCTGTCACGGGAGGAGCAATTTCTAGGCTCCTGACCCAACAGGAAGAGTCTGGAAGCTCCCTTGCTTAGGCAAAGCGTAGGCTTGGGCGTTCAGGTCCTCCTTGGGCACGGTGTACCTCCCTTTCTCTGCTCGGGCCCGAGCACTCAGCGTTCCTGTGGTCCCTGTTTACACTCTGGACTCTGGCCATGTGCCTGGCTTTGTCCTGTGGAAATCGGGCCTGGGTTCTGTCCGTCTGCCTAGCCCCAGCTCACACATTAGCTTGTCTGGTTCTTTCCCCTGGCCAGCTGAGACATCAGTGTCCAGAGGTGCCTGCAACCCAGGTGATTCTAGTCTCAGACATTCCCCTGCCCTGCACGCCCGCTTCCTCCTGTAGT